AAACTCATTTATCTTCGAATGTTTCGCGGTGCCCCTGTGAAGAGGTCGCGGCTCGCCTGGGCGCCGCAGTCCACAGTTTGAGAATCGCTGCATTAAGCTATAAATAACGCAGGCCCTACCTGAACTGTCATCTTTGCGTAGCCGAACTGTGTGTCAGCGCCATTTTTGTTTACTGCTAGTGACCCATAGGTCAATGGTTTTCACCCAGGGGAAGCAAGGAGGTATCAATGGAACGTCAGGCTATTTTGAAATTGAGAGTATTTATACTTAGAATAATCTGTTATAAGAATATTTTTGAAAGTTTCTGTAAATATAATATTGTTTAAAATGTTATATATATACTAATATTATATATATAATAATATATATATATATATATATATCTATATATATCCTATATTATATATATATATATTATAAATAAAAAAGTCAAGGGACTTTATATTTTTTTTGACACCTGGAGTTATTGTGGATGCCTTTCTCCAAGGTTTCTTGATAATAATGCTTGGGGTTTATTCTTTTGTTCATTCTCTTTTAATCTCAGTTTTTAAGTGGGAGTCAGTGTCTTGCCAGATATGTGTGTGCATGGGAGGTGAGGGGGGGGGGGGGGGGGGGGGGGGGGGGGGGGGGGGGGGGGGGGGGGGGGGGGGGGGTGTGGTGGGGGGGGGGGGGGGGGGGTTGTGTGGATTGTGTTTGCATGGGTGGGGGAGGGTGGGGGTGGGAGAGAAGGTTGAAAACTACAAATGTAGAGCATGTGCTCTGAAACCTGTTTATCACGTTTGGAATGCCATCAAAATGAGGAGGTACAGAAAAATGTCACGAATAAATTGGAAACATAAAATCGCAAATGCCCGTTACTGCGGGCCTATAAGAGAAGCAAAGCTTTGTAGCGTACAATGCAGGCATGTCGCCACGAAGAAAATATTGGGGGGGGGGGTGTGTTCACAAGTCGCCCCACCGCGAACCCATTAGAGAAGTAAAGCATAGTAACGTACCATGCAGGCGCGTCGCCACGAAGAAAGTATTGGGGGTGTTCTCAACTCGCCCCAACCCCCCCCCCCCACCCCCGGTCTCCCTTTCCATGTTTCTGCCATTATAGTACCATTGATGTTGTAATAAATCAAAATTTGGGCCATCTAGCCTCAACTATCACCACCACCACGCCCTCATCACCACCACCATGCCCCCATCACCACCACAACGCCCTCATCACCACCATCACGCCCTCATCACCACGCCCACGCCCATATCACCACCACCACGCCCTTATCACCACCACCACGCACTCACTACCACCACCACGCCCTCATCACCACCACCACGCCATCATCACCCTCACCACGCCCTCATCACCCCCACCACCACGCACTCACCACCTCCACCACGCCCCCATCACCACCGCCACGCCCTCATCACCCGCACCACGCCCCCATCATCACCACCACGCCCCCATCCCCATTACCACGCTTTCATCACCACCACCACGCCCTCATCACCCCACCACGCCCTCATCACCCCCACCACGCCCTCATCACCCCCACCACGCCCTCATCACCACCTAGACAACAAGATGAATAGGTGAGGTAGATATATGGTATCCATTGCGATGGATTTTGAAGCAAATGTAATTCTATAAAAAAAAAACACACACCTCGATAGTGACCGGAAACTAATAGGCAGGCATTTATTTGATCACTGCGCTATTTTGTCTCTCAACTCCCAGTCTACATTTCATGTTTCCCCGTGTTTTTTGCGCTTATCTCTCTCTCTCTCTCTCACACACACATTTATATATATATATATATATATATATATATATATATATATCTATTATATATATATATATATATATATATATATATATATATATATAATGTGCGTCTATCATAAGCGCTAGGGGTAAAGAATATACATGTCAGTACTCAAGTATCTCAGTGTAGATTCCTGTTTTGGTGGGGGGATGAGTATGAACAGAACCACTGACACACACACCCCCCTCACAATAAGCATTTCGTAAAACTCGACTAATTATGGGTCTTTCTTTCACATTTGGAGTGCATCTGCGTGAGAAACGAGGAACCAGCAACCAGCTTTCATATAGACCAGATCTGTAATCTGGATGTGCACTCAAAATTCGAGTTCTGGAACAAGACTAAAATTCAGAAGTGGACGAACAAACCATAACTTTCCGCCGGAGTTTACGGCCAGTGAACGCGAAGAATAAAAAAACCGCAAGTACAGCAAAGCGAACATTGGTGCAAACAAAAGAGGGAGAAAATGCCCACTAATTGTTATCTTCCAAAACGTACAGGGAAGTGGTGAAGCGTTTACACTGAAAGATGATGACTACTTGACTGCAACAAGACGCCGAGTTTCCGGAACACATCCGTGTTTGTGTGCACGATATGTAAGACTTTAGACGGCGTCTGAAATAGCCGCCTTAAGTGTTTGGTTTAACTGTATGTTAATGTAAGATATCAGAACATCTCGGAAATTTCCGTACCCGGAGTCCACTTTTTTTTTTTTTTCGCTCTTAAAAGGACGATTGGTAAGTTGTGTAGTTTACAGATAGGCTGCGATGTCCGCTTGTTCCGGTCCAACACATCAGATTTAAACAGACCTCTGATTAGTCGAATTTTACAACTTGCTTGTTAACAATACAAATAAATGGGGGGGGGGGGGGGTGTTTGCTGGGAAATGAGCAGACACAAAAGTTGGCTAGACTGGCCCCCGGAGGGGAGGGGGTACGACATCTGCACAAGGCAGAGTTTATCTCTAGCCTGTGGGACAAGGTAACAAGTACTGAGGAAGATACTGAAGATTTTGGACCCGGAAAGAACGATGCAGCGGGGAGGGTATGCACTCTGTCGGCGCCACTCGAAGCTTATGTGGAACGGGAGGGGTGATGCAAGACGAGTAGTTAACCAAATGAAAACGGGTTACCATCAGCGTGGCGACTTTTTGCACTGGATTATGAGAGAGGGACACACTAGACAACACCTCACATGTGACAGTAAGGCGATATGCGGTGTTGTGAAATTCATACTCGTGTGTTGAAGAGCGGGAAGGTTGGCGTGCTAATTTTTGAACGGTGAGAAGTGGGAAGGGCATTTTAGGTGCACCGACTCTGTAAATGACTAATTGCCGGATCCGTTTTGCAGAATAAAACACGCATATACGTGGACCCACATACGCATTCGCACACATACAGGCGCGAATGCACACACTCACACATACACACAGGTGCGCGTGCGCAGACTCAGAAACATACTGTGGGGTCATTTCTCAGTACAAACCGGTTTCTTGCAAGTAAACTTTATACAAGTGAACTAGTAGAAATATAGATAGATGTCTGTACCGACAGTGTAATCATTGAGGATGGCAGACAGTGGTCTGTCATGATGTACTAGGGGAATGTGAACGATGCCTGCTAATTAGGTGGAAATCTCAACCCCTGTCTCCCCGCCCCTTACCTCTAGATTCTACCTGACCGTTATCGTTGCGCAAATTATAGATAATGTTAAAGCAAAGTATAGACCACACGCGCGCATTCATTGAAAGTCGCTCTAGTTAGCAGAGGTGCTTGAGGGAAAGGTTAGCGTGTTTTATTTGAAGCCTTGGCTCTGATTTTGAAGGGCTGAGTTTTTCTTGTATAAAGCGTTAGCTTTGTATTAAGGATTAGTGCTGTCTGTATGAAGGGTAGTCTGTCTCTCTCTCTCTCTCTCTCCCTCTCTCTCTCTCTCTCTCTCTCTCTCTCTCTCTCTCTCTCTCTCTCCCCTCTCTCGAGTTAGCTTTTGTTTTGTTTGCATGAATCCATAGCTCTTTAAGACAGGATAACTCTTTTTATATGAAGCCTTGGACCTTTTTGCATGGGACAGCTGGAGAATCTAGTAGTTCTGATGAGGTAAACCTTGGAGGACCTATCTGATTTCCGAAAGACGTTATAGCCACCCACATTTGCATCAGAGGGACTGTTTCAAACAGTACCATACTGTGGCTAAGCTGCAGTGAATACATTGCAGCTACAAGTCTTATATAACTGTACAAAGTAAATATTTTGTATATAATCTTCATCTTGATCTCACCATGAAGCTTGGTGTGATCATCATCATTGGCCCCACAAACCTCACTGCCGCCATCATCATCATCAGTCCTTCTGTCAGAATACTTATATTAGGAGGCGGGTAACCTTTATGAAAGCTATTATCCCGTCCACATTCCATTGTATATTTTATACAGCTTCGTCTTGATTGAGTTAAGAACAGGCCTGTTAGTGAAGTACAGTACAGTTGACAGTGTTGAAGTAGTCTTCAAGTAGTCTCAAGTATCAAGTTTGCAGGGACACAACTCTGATTCCTACTCAGGAAAACCTGACCACCCTACTGTAGTGAAAAAGGGGTGACTGCAGTCAAGCTAAACCAAGAAATTAATCTGGTGAACTGAGACTAAAAGGCTTAACGAAATGGGGAAGAAGAATAATGATCACAAAACACACAAATCGACATTTTGGCTGGGGCCTTTCCACATCACCTTTCTATAGTTTCTCATGTGACCCCCCCCCCCCCCCCCCCCCCCCCCCCCCCCCACCCCCCCCCCCCCCCCAACTGGTGTTTTATGCACATTGTTCTGCATTCCCCACTTCGCTGAGTTTTTTAGTCTCAGTTCACTGGGTTAATTTCATACTTCATTTAGTAAAGTCTGTTATGCCCTGAGCATAGCCTAAAGATGGACCCCACCCCCCCCCCCCCCCCCCCCTCTTTACAACTTTCCCCCCTTTTCTTCATACCAGAGAAGATGAAGCGGGACCTTTGCAATGAAAATTACAACTAATCCTTTTTGTTTAAAATTTCTTTTTCAAATCTGTGGTGATTTCTTTCTTTCTTATTTTTACTTGCACACCCCCCCTCCCCCCTCCCAGTAATACTGCATACAACTGCCATACTCTGTTATGAATTATTTTTTTCTATCAACAGTCATAGCAAGAAGGCAAGGCATTTACAATGCAGATAAAAGCTCCTCCAAACTTCATACCAGATGATTCCCGAGCCAGGCAAATTCATGCTCCGCCTGTGCATTCTCGGTACAGAAAGTTAGACCTGTACCGAACTGTTCATCAATTTTATTACATCGACAACCACGCCATTCAGGCAAGTAATCTTAATGTATTGATGTGTGTTTTCGTTTCTGACATTTTTTTTTTTTTTTTAAATTTATGATATCTGTTTGTGATAGGCTATATTTGATAATTTTGTTAGCAAAGTTAATGCTGGTTTGTGCTGCCACTGGAGTACACGGTTTACAAATTAGAGGCCTAATCATGGCAGAATTAAAGCAAAACAGCTGCTCAAAAGTAGGCATTCACCTATGGATCACACTATTTTAAGAGAGATTGTATACCAGTTCAACTAAGTTTACTTAGGGACCACAGTTTTAAAAATGGGGACCATCACAGGCCTGAGATCTGAGCCCCAGCACAGGAAGATCGTCAGTACAAATGGTAATTATCGGCGGCCATTTGCTAAGGAAAAAGGAGTTATTCAAACATTCTGTCATGACATCTGGGTGTTAACTCTTTGAGTCCCAGTGGGTTTAGCTTCACAGGCCCAAGGGGTGGTAAAGAAAGACATAAAATTGGTGCATCTTGTCTTTATTAAGCTTCTAGGTAGAACCTATGAATGCGTTTTTTAGGACTCGGAGAGTTAAATCATAGTTCCTGGATAGTTTTTTTTTTACTTACTTACTTACTTACTTAGTCGCTCCTCTTCTACCTTGGGGTGTAGAGGTTTGCCAGAGAGATTGCCAGACGTCTCTATCAGCAGTTTTCTTTCTTTTAGTTACTATGTAATCATAGTTTAAGGCAAACAGGTGATTGGCCTGTTGTGTCTTTGCATGGTGGAGGGACTGCCTCCTTGCGGCCTCCATGCAGGCCGTCTGGCTGATTCACAGTTACCTACTACTTCCTGAGACTCATGAAGCACTCAGGTTCTGCCAGACCCTCCTCCTTTTACAGCCGGGCTTGGGACCGGTCTTAGTGGAGTTTAGTTTTTTTTTTAAAGGGTCCAAATAATTTGATTTTGAACGGTGACAGATTGGGGCTGTGGGCTGGGTGAGGACTTTTACCTCTTCCATGCTAACCTAATGCTTCCAGCACAGTGTTTACGACATGCACAATTTACAAGGCTATATTTTGTGTTCTGTTACAGACAGCTCAGTGTAAAATGTTGTACTTTATGTTCTTTTGCAGGTAGCTCAATATAAAATGTTCCACTTTATTTTCTGTTACAGGTAGCTCAATCTAAAATGTTCCACTTGATGTTATGTTATGTTATAGGTAGCTGAATGTAATATGTATAAAATGTTCTACTCCTGAACTCTCTTACAGGTAGCTCAGACCGACCATGACAATTTCACTGACCTGATCTACCACCTGGTGTACAGCCAGAACTTGCAGTCTGACTTGGATAAGTGCAGGTGTGTAGCTCTGTGGGTTTGAACATACAGAACCAAGTGTGAATCAGATCATCTAGGCCATTACAAGGGGATTCTGTAGCCTCAAGTTGTTTACTGCAGTACTTTGAGATATCTTCTTCTTTGTCTTCTTCATGTTCACCGTCTGTAAACTTCATTGGAAAGTTCTGGTTGTTCGTCCACTTCTAGACTCTAGTCTTGTTCAAGAACTTGAGTTTGCATGCACATCCATTTTACAGATCTGGCTTACTTGTATGCAGACTGTTGATTACTTGCTTCTTAGGCAGATGCTCTTTGACTTTGAAAGAAACCCTTAATTAGTTGACTCTTATGACATGCTTGTTTGGGTAGCAGTGGGTATGTTCTTCTCCCCCCCCCCCCCCCCCCTTACAATGAGGCCTTGGAATCCACAGGGATAACTTTTAAATATATATATAAAACACAGAGGTAGAAAACTAACTATGAACCATGGCAATTATACCTGAAAGCTATACAGGTTGAAACAGTTGCTGTGTTTTCCAAACAAACAATAAGATTGCCATCTCAAACAGTCCTTTCTGTATTAAAGGTAAAGGTTAGAAGATCAGCTTCATTGCACTGGGTTTTATCCCATATGGCTCATCTCTGTCCGCAGCACAGCTAGCTGCTTGCCGAGAGCGGTGGCGATCCCCAGGGATCTCAGTAAAATTTGCACTCGTGAACTGCGTGGCATCGCCATAAAATGAACTCACGACCTTCAGAGGGCGAGGCAAACTGCTTGACCGCTTCGCCATTGAGACTCCCCCCCCCCCCCCCTCCCCTTTCTGTATAGCTGAAAGACTACTGAGATAATAACAGGTCATGAATACAATTTCAGATTGTGCAACACTAGTTAATAACAAGTATATACATTGTGCAACACTAGTTAATAACAAGTAATACACAGACCTGTATGACCAGACTGCAACAACAACATGTTAAAGGGGTGTGGCCAGAAAAGAGCACAATGAAGGAAACCAAAGAAGATCAAGAAACCAACACAGGACTGGTGATGTCAACCTCTACACGCTGCAGAGTTTACTAAGGAGGGGATCATAGCACTTACGGACTGAATGGTTCGATGTGCAATGAGTATAATCTGTTGACTAACTTACTAAGTAATACACAAAATTAACTCTTTCAGTCCCAAGTATTAGATTATGTATGCCGGCTCAGCTCCTGAATTTAAATAATTGAGTTGTGTGTTCTTTAATGTTTCACTTTTTGATCATACTTAAAAACATCAGGCTTTCTCAGTGGCCACTGTCATTGCGCATATAAACTCTCTGTGGGGGGGGGGGGGGGGGGGGGGTAGAAGAATGCACCCACCTTTTCCCTGCATGTCGTAAAATTCTGCTAATTAGGGGATGTTTCCTTCCTGAGAGGCAAGGAACCAACAATCTGCATACAATTAAACTAGACCTGTAAAATGGATGTGCACACAAAACTCAAGTTCTGGAACAAAACTAAAGTGCAGAAGTGGGCGAACAACCAAGACCTACCTCCAGATTTTACAGCTGGGGAACTGTAAAAAGAAAAAAATATATTGTTATATTTATTTATTATTCGAATAATAATGATAATAATAATAACAAATATTTGTGTGAACTTAAAAAAGACTTCAGCCGTCCACTGCCAAGAAAATTATAATGCTCCCAACAAACATGCACACACGGGCGCGCAAAGTTTTATTATGGTGACATGTATGCTTCCTGAGGATGGTCTTTATAGCAGTGCAATCATTATTTTCTTCTTATGATGATTGCAGTTTTTTCCTCATATTAATATACATATTGTCATATCTTTTGCTTGGTTAAATTATATTATACAGAAGGACATGTTAATATCATTTCATATTCTGGATATCTCATGATGTTTCTCTGCACAGTCTTATGAGTGTCATCTCTATCTACAGGGTTATCTTCCGATGGATGACTTCCAAGAATATGTACACAATCAGCTTTCGGGATGGAGCCAACCCCAACAGTCCAGAAGAAGTGTTGCTTTCTTTCAAGAACAAACAGGGCACATATGCTCGTATTTTTGAAACGTTATGTCGGTATGTAGCATTTTTATTCTTGAGAATTGCATTTTATGAAAGGGTGTTGCAGACTCATTACCTGTGACCTTCAGTATCGAGATGGCACTTGATAATGATCTAAAACAGTGGTTCTCAACCTTTTTAATGCTGCGACCCTTTAATACAGTTCCTCATGTTGTGGTGAACCTCAACCATTAAAATTTTTTGTTGCGATTCCATAAACTTCAGTGAATATGTGTTTTCCGTTGGTCTTAGGCGAACCCCTGTGAAAGGGTCATTAGACCCACAAAAGGGTTGTGACCCACAGGTTGAAAACCGCTAATCTTAAGCTTCTTGTTCATCCCTGTACTGTTCACTGGAACATAGGCTTTTAACATACTCACATCATACCATTTTATGTCTTACTATCTGTTGCATCTGCCTCCTCCTGGGCATACCTCTTCTTCATGGGTTTAAGAGGTCTCCCTCCATTTCTTTAGCCCCGTGGGTTGCAGAGAAAAGATGTAGCTTGTTATTCTATTATCAGGTTTTCTCAGTGTATGTCCTGTACTGTGCCATCATTAAAAAAAAAAAATTTGCTAGTCTCTACTCTCTCTTTAAGCTCTGTATTAACGATTCTTCCATACCACCATAGTCCTTTTTTTTTTTCAAATGTGCAAGCTATACTTTATGAATAGGTTTTTTTTTAGTCATTGTTTTGATATTAGGTTTGACAAATGTGATCATACGTTTTCTTATAATGTGGCAGTGACAGCATTAGTCAGTGCTTTTTATTATACCAGCAGCAATTCCTTTTAAGGTATAACTGTTTTCAGCACTTCTGTAATAGATACTTCAAAGTGAGTACTGAATCATTTTGTTTATACACTTTCTGGTAGTACCAGCAACTTGTTTCCCTAGAAAATTAAAGCCCTGATTGTGATCATCACACATTTCCCTTTACCTGTATGTGGAGCATGGTGAAACAAATGTTGCTGTTCATCAGTATCGAAGTGACTTACATGTGTGGTTGAGGGCAGTAGCTCTCTACATTCCAAATGCCGCGACCCTTTAATACAGTTCCTGCATATGTGTGTCGAACCCCAGACAGTTATTTTCCTTCATAACTTCAATGAATATGTGCTTTCCGATGGTCTTAGGCAACCCCTGTGAAAGGGTTGTTTGACCCACACACACAAAAAAGTTACGTTTGTGAACCGCTGAGTTAGCTTGTCGCTTCTGTTGCCATACATAGGAAAAATAAACACATCATCTACACTGTTACAAGCATAACTCCAGCTGTGCTTTTGCCCGCTCTTCAGCAGTGGAGGGCATGCATCGAAATGTTTTTTTCAAATCACAGATAGTCATGTAGAGCATGTTATATGTTAGAGTCCACTAATTAGGGCTTTCCTTCGAAGTCAGAGTGCATCTGCCTGAGAGCGGGGAACCAACAGTCTGCTCACAAATAAGCCAGACCTGTAAATCGGATCAAATTCTGAAACAAGACTTCAGTCCAAAAGTGGAAAAACAACAAGAACTTTTCATTGGAGTTTACAGCCAGCAAACGTGAAGAAGAATCCACTTAATCCATCTGTTTCATTATTTATCATATATTCTTTTGTGTGTTTGGAAATCCAGCTCTTAAGTTGCTAATATTTTGTCACATCATAATTTGAAAGCCATTTCGTTTACTTTTTAAATATATTTTTTAACAAGATTAATAAAATAATGAATGTTTTGTGGAATTACAGTTTTGCTGGAGTTCACTCAATTGTCCTGACCGGCTATGCCAAAGGCTTGGACTACCGCCCTGGTGACAAGTTCAAGGGCAATGAGTACAACCACAGCTGGAATGCTGTTCTCATTGACAACAACTGGTACCTAGTAGACTCTCACTGGGCTACCAGGTATCTCGTCTCAGAGAAGAACATGCCAGAAAATCTGGTGAGCCACTCTGAGATTTATATTGTGCTGTTGTCTTTGTGTCTGCTGTCTTTAGAGCAAAGTTACTTTAGAGAACAACAAAAGTTAAATATCTAGCAGACATATAGAGAATTACTGATAAAGAAGTTACTAGTAAAGTAAAAGTAAAAAAAGTAAAGATCCCTTTTCACGCCTTTCGGCGCATCGGGCATATGGGCAGAGCGTCCCATATTTTTACAGACCATCAGCACTCGTTGGGTAATGTGGTCAGCATTACGCCGGCTGTCTTTACTTTCCCAGGACAGCCCATCCTGGTACCCATTTTAGGCTGGGTCAACCTGCGACGTCCCATACCACGACAAAGTTACTAGTAAACTACAGAAATTAACAGATGCCGTTGTTAACTAGGTAAATAAATGGAATGATCAAATCACCTAATTACTAGGAAGAGAGGTAAAGACATTTTTGTAAATTAAGAGTTGAGGAAAAGCTGCTGGTACTGGATAGGATTTACATTGAGAAAACCTGATAGTATTATAACTAGAATGTCTTTGCACTGGAAATAAAGTGGGACTGAAAAATACACAGAGAAGAGAATCAGAAACAGGTTTCCCATGTGGGTTCTGGGGCCCCTTTGTGGGAGAAATAAGAATAGACCCACTGCCTCCCCAACAAGTGTGTCGTAAGAGTCGACTAACTGGGCGCTTCCTTTATAAAGTAAAGTGCATCTGCCTGAGAGGCAAGGAACCAACAGTCTGCTCACACACAAAAAGTCATATCTGTCAAATGGATGTGCTTGTAACACTCAGGTTCTGGAACAAGACTAAAGTCCAGAGGTGGACGAACAACCATAACTTTCCATGGAGTTTACAGATGGTGAACATGAAGAAGAAGAAAAGGAAACAGAAGTTAATGTGATAAGAAGGACATGGAGAAAACTGCATTACGCAGCAAAAGATAGGGATAGGAGCAGTAACTAGAATTTTGCCTGCGGGTCCAAAGGTCTTGTGTTCTTCTTCTTTATTCACCTTCAAAAAGGCGGTTGGCTGGTTATGTTGAGGTTTACAGCTAGGCTGCAGTATCTACGCCTTCCGGCCCAAAACATCTGATTTCAGCACAACCGTAATTAGTCGCCTTTTACAACATCCATGTTAAGAGACAGTGGGTCTGACCCCCCACCCGCCCCTCCTAAGGAACCCACACAGGGAGGTTTTGCACCAATGCATTTGGAAAAAAGTTGACCCCGACACCTAGCGGACCCAGTCTAAAATAAGTACCAGGAAATGTCCAAGGAAGTAAAAGGCAACCAGTGTGATGTTGACCACATAACTCAACAAGTGCCATTTAATTAGTCTGTAGAAATTATAAGTCTAACATCATATGCCCGATGCGCCACTGGGGTGAGAAAAAAAAGGAAATTTTACATTGTTTCCCCGTGTTGGTTCCAGGGTCCCATTTGGGGGGAAAAATAATAGACTCACTGCCTCTCTTATTAACATGTGGTAAAAGGCGACAAATTAGAGGTGTTTCTTTTGAAGTCGGAATGTATCTGTCTGAGAGGCGAGGAACCACTAGTTTACATATATGTGCGCCAGATATGTAAAACGGATTGCCGTGCAAATCTCAAATTCTCGAACAAGACATATAGCCCTGAAGTGAACGCTGAACCATACATTTCTGTTGGTATTTGCTAAGCAGAAGAAGACTTGTAATTTTATTCATACATTTCTTCCATTAATTTTAAGTTCTTATTTTAATGTGTTTGTAAAGACTGTTTCCTCTCTGCATTTAAGTTTAAATTCACCCGGCTCAATAGCGAAGTTGGTTAAACCTGACTTTGCAGCGACCGGGTGATGAACTCCTTGTGGTCCGGGTTCACGCCCTGGTGTAGGCACATTTCTCCCAGATTTACAGTATCTATCGTGGAATCAAGGCCATAGTACTGAGCCAAAGAGTTTACTACTCGTGGTTTCTGGATATTAAAAAAAAAAAAGTTTACATTTGACCAGAGATGGCTCATTATATTTTGTATGTAAATAATTTGTGAGAATGTCAAAATTATTGTCTGACCAGGTCTACGAATATGATGACTTCTACTTCCTCACGGACCCTGAGCAACTGGTCTACAGCCACTGGGCACACAAGAAGGAGTGGCAGCTGCTGTATACCCCAGTCACCCTGCAGGACTTTGAGAATCTGCCATTAGTCAAGTCGTATTTCTTCAAATGTGGCATGTTTTTCATCTCCCATCACAACGGTATCGTTGATGCCAAGAAGGGACGCTTGGCTCTCACATTAGGATTTTGCAAGCCGACCAACTTTACGTACGTATTTACATACACTTTGGTGACTCAGGGAAGATATTATTTGTATGGAGGGAGGGGTAGTGGGTTGGTTGGTTCTTCATATATACTAAGTCACATGGGAGACATGGTGGTGTAGTGGCTAGAGGTTAATCTCTGGCCTGAAGGTTTTTGGTTAGAATCCGTACAGAGTTCGATTTTAAAAACAAAATGACTATGGCTCCCAGGTTGACCCAGAGTAGAATGGGTACCATGTGAAGTCCTGCAAAGTAAAGATGGCTGGCATGATGTTAACCACATCACTATCGAGTGTCGGTTGGTTTATAAAAATATGAGTCTTGGCTATGCTCTAAGTGGAGTTCTTGAAACTTTTTTTTAACCCTTCCAATGTAGTAATCTGTCTTTATTTACAATTTTTATTTGTTTATTGTTTTGTGGTTCTAAGTGTGGATGCTCGTAAGTCACAGAGGTCATAAGCCGAGGAGACGGTGTAGTAAACTAAGCATTCCTAGATTATAATGTAACAGCTGTGACCTGAACATTACTTGCAACACTGTTGACACTTTTCCACCTTTCCAGAGGATAGTGTTCCATTGTTATAATCAGAGCCTCTGGCTATACCAGTTAAGGACAGGGATGAAGTTCCTCCTCTCCATAGCATAAAACCTGGCAGTATTGCAAAGACCATGTGTTGCCCATGTAGCATGATCCTTGTCTTGGCCTGCTTTGTTAACTCAGAAGAAAAGGTGGTATTACAACTAAGTTTGGATTTTTTTTAAAACTGATCCAGAAACCATGAGTTGTAAACCATTTGGCTTAGTACAATGAATATCGCTACCCTTCGGCCTTGATTCCATGATAGATACCGTAAATCTGCGGCTTTTCTGCCTACCCCGAGCGCAAACTTGGACCACAAGGAGTTTGTCACCCGTTCGCCGCGCAGGCGGTTTAACCAACTGAGCTAGCATGTTTGGAATCAAATGTGCTGCAGAATCTGCCAGATTAGAAGAGCAGCATTGCTTTAACTGCCCATCTCCTAAACTAGCTGCCAACCAAGGTTAAGGGACTGGTCTGCCCTGCCGTACATAGCATTGAGTTTTCAGGTTGCATTTCCTCTGTCTAGGATTAGCATTTGTTGGTTCTAGTGTGACAAGTTCTAGAGATCTCTTTCTACGCTGGTGCCGCAAGGCATTCCAGGAGAAGAGAAGAAGAAGAAGTATGACATTTGGCTTGAGTGTAACTTGCACATGAAGGCGTGTAAAGGACAGTCTTTGAATACAGAATCCCCACCAGGAAAAACATTTGGCCAAGGCTCACTTGTATTCAGCCTCAGCCTCAATGATGTGTGTGCATCATGTTGCAGTAGAGGGACTGTAACAAATCTGGATCTAAAAGGGTTTTTTAAAAAAAACTGTAAGACAAAATGTATATTAGTCAAAATCTAGGATATAGTGGGTTAGTATGACAGCGTGAAGACCCACAGAATGAATAATAGAAGAATTTTAAGAGGAAGCACATGATAAAGGTGTATCTATTTGCTTGGTACTGAATGAGTAAAATGTAATAATTACATCATGACACGTTAATCTAGCAGAGGGATGAAAGAGAGTAAAATGTAACAATTACAATATAATACGTTAGTCTATCAAAGGAATGAAAGAAGCAGTTGAAGCAACCATTACAACATGACACGTTAATCTAGCACAGGGATCAAAGAAGGAGTTGAAGTAACGGTTACTATCTAACATGTTAATCTAGCAGAGGGATGAAAGAAGGAGTTGAAGTAATGGTTACAATATGATACGTTAATCTAGCAGAGGGATGAAACAAGGAATTTAAAGTAACAGTTACAATATAGCATTTTAAGGGGTGAAAACAGAGATACATCCAGAAATACTTTAAGTAACAGTTACACACTGGACATAATTGTATTAATTTTAATTCAAATTTGTCATTAATGTAGCAAATGGATGAAACAAATGGATTAATAAAAGCAAATCAGATAAAGAATTACTAGTATATGCATGATGAATTGCTTAGGGCAAATGAACTAAAGAAGCAACAGAATGTTCATTAGTTATTTTACATTTGAGAACCATTTAACCCTTCTGGACCTTCAGATACAAGATTACATTTTCTGACACTGGAGAAGAAGTCTACCAAGGCCAGAAACTGAAGAATTATGCTCTGCAGCATCAAGGACAAAACCAGACAACAACCTTTATCTTCCGTGCGCCCCGTGCCGGCCCATACTACTTCACCATCTTTGCTCAGCTTCTCACTGGGGAGCTGGGGGTGAAGAATATCTTCACCGCTTCAGCAGAGTACAAGGTGAGTGTGGATTATTGCAGGTGGGACACAGACCTAAATGTTAGGGGCAAATTCTTAGTGTTTCAAGGGGGGGGGGGGGGGCTGCATGGCCTCGAGGCATAGTGTCCGCCTCGAGTTCTAGAGGTTCCGGGTTCAAACCCTGGTAAGGGCTGAGATTTTTCTACATGAACTCGAACTTCTAGTAATTCCACCTGGTCTCTGGGTAGCGAGATCGGGCGCCCGTGTGTATTGTTGCCCACGTAAATAATCCCTTGGCAGTTGGAAATCGCAAAGAGTAGTCTAATGGCGCTGCCCGGGCAAAATTTGGAGTTAAAAATCTACCCAAAGTATATCAGGATCCTCACCGATGCTACAGAGTCTGTACACTGTGCTGAGCTTCTTTGGACTGACTTGAGTAAGAAGAAGAACGGAGCACTTATAGTTTAGTACCTGTGTGCCATGATGTTGATCCATTGCTCAAACCTCAAACATCTTGGTGTCTCATGGACCAAAATGAGAAAAAAAAAAGAAGTCTTCAGGATCTGAACATTTAAAAAAAAAGGAAGGAAGGGGGAGGGGGTTGCTGTCTTAAATCAGTTATCATTATCAATCAGCAGGTCTTTTACAGAACATCGCTGTCATAACGGCCGGCTTGAAAGTCTCTTTGAAGCCCATTCTCCAGCCCTGTGTGCTTTCATAGCCAGTGCATCTTATATGTCTTGTATCCACTTTCACAGAGGTCTGCCTCTTGTCTTGTTTTCTGGAAACTATACCCTCCATCACTGTTCTCTCCAGATCATCATGATGTTCAACATGGCCAAAATACCTCAGCTTTCTGGGACAGGATGCTGTTTGTGAGCCAATTCTCCTCAATGTTTAGGTCAAGCATGATGTCAGTGTTTTTCTTCTTCTGGCACGTTATCGTATCCAGAAAGCAGAAATACTGAGCCATGTTAAACACTATAATAAAGATCCCAGTTCTGGCAAATTGGCATTCTGGTGGAAACAGCTGTATGGATCATTTGAGGACATAAATTACACCACAACCTTCATAGAGATCTATGGTTTCTTTTCTAAAAACCATTGGCAGGGAGAACAAAAAGAAAAAGAAACACCATAGATGTTTGGAGAAGACAGTAGTGAAGGATATAGTTCCTGGAGGAAGATGCAAGGGATGACCAAAACCACGGTGGGCACAAGATATCAAGGACACCCTAAGCATAAAAGTTCACAATGTTGGGGAAGTTGGCAAGGGATTGAGTGGCATTTTGGCTTCATAATGATGAATTAAAGCACTAGAATTTTTTTTTTTTTTTTTTTTGGTACGCTACCTGTATGGTGTTTTCCCCCACTGAGGCCCTGATAAATAATGACATAGTGCGGAAAAAATTAGACCAGGTTTTATGAGCAGTCACCATGCAATTTTCAAATTTAAGATTTAAAAAAATAGTTGATAATCTACAAACTGAGTATAAAGAGGCAGAATTATTGTCTTCTTGATCCAGTAATAACCTCATTAATTTCCAAAGAAGTTTTCCAACAATTCTGAAGGCTTTCTTTTCTTCTTCTTCTTCTTTATGCTTCGGGTGTTGAGGGAAATAAAAGGTCCTGCTTCTTGCTTTTCTGGCTGTTTCGACCAAAGACGCATCGTGGAACTGTACAGTTTCTCTGACATTTTCCTTTCATAATGTTCTTGGTCTACCTCTTGCTGTAGTCCCTCTCCTCTTTTGGTATATGCCTCGAATGGTATAGCACCAGAAGGCATTCTCTCCAAGTGCGCAAACCATCTGATTTGCTGTCTTTCTATGCAATTTAGAATTGGTTCTGTGCTGACTTTATCTCGTATGACCTCATTCCTGATTTTATCTTTTCTGGTCACTCCTACTGCCTTTCTCAGACACCTTATTTCCATGGTTACTAATTTTCTTTTATGTTCTGTTGTGAGTGACCACGTCTGGCAAAGATGTTCCCACAGTTTCCAAATTTAAAGAAGCAAATCCATTTTAACTCTCTCTTTTATTATTTCGGTTAGAAGCCTAGCTGTTCGTTTCTTTGTCTTTCCAGAAATATCCTGCTGAATATTTTCTCAGGAGCTGACAATTACCATCTTTTCTCTATAACTTCCACACTCCTTTAGGACTAATGTCTTTTGCCAGTTTTATCAGATATCCTTCTCTCCTTTATGCTGGCATTTCTTTTACCTGTTCGAATTTCTCCTGTTCTCCAATATTCTATTAAATAATTTTTCTAAAAATTATAAAATGCACATTGAAATTAAAAGGTATAAATGTTGCTTCTGTATGTAAACTGATGCAAATATAAAAATTGCCTTTTTAAGTGAACAAATAAAGAAGAAAAAACAAATTGCATTTAAATAACACTTTTATTTAATTACAAGAAACATCTCTGGACAATTGCAGCAAAAAATTGTGTTTCTTGACCACAGAAAATATTCTAACTTAATTATAATGACAAATATGCATGTTTTAAATCAGAGGTTCTCAACCTTCATAATGTGGCGACCCTTTAATACAGTTGCTCATGTTTAAACAATCAAACAATTATTTTTGGTTATGCTTTATAACTTTAGTGAATATGTGTTTTCCCGATGGTCTTTGACGACCCTGTGAAAGGGTCGTTTGACCCACTAAAGGGTCGCGATCCACAGGTTGAGAACAGCCGTTTTAGATGATAATTTGTTTGTTTGAATTGGTCTTGTTATATAGGTCATTGCTGACACAGCAGCCATTGATGCAGCGCCTCTTCCAGCATGTTCAGACAGCAGCTGGGGCCCAGGTGTGGCAGTGGATCAGCTTGGGCTGGTGGCAACTCCAGCTGATGGTATTGTGACCACCACAGATGGTCGAGTCAATCTGGAGTTTGCCAAGACAAAACCTGCTTTTGTGCTGTGCAAGCTTCGCAAGAATGGTGTCAAGGATGAAGACCTGGACAAGTACATTACAGAACATGATGAGGGAGATATAGTGAGGGTAAGTTACTGTTTGCAGCACTGTTAAACAGCACTTGTACATTCATAGCAGTGAAAACCTAGAGAATGTTGTACTTTTTTTGCAATGCTGTAAGCCAGGGGTACCCAGTTACATAAGACCCATGTACCTCTTTTATTTTACAAGGACCTGCCATGGACCCCCACTGTTTAAGTAGTCATAGTAAATCACCCTTTATTGGGTAGATAAAACTAGAGCTATAGTTTATAGACCGTTCAGCACTCAGTAGTTGATGTTGTCGTCATGCTAACCGCCCTTACTTCCCAGGACTTTACCTGGCACCCATTTAAGGCTAATAGTGAAGGTCGTTTTTGAAAAAATAATGGCTCCCTTTGGTTTTGAACTTTGAACCCACGATCTTCAGTTCTGCAGGTGAGTGTCTAGCCACTACTTCATGACCCCCCCCCCCCCCCCCCCCCCTCCCCCACTTTTTATTAGTCATATTTAAAAAAAAGGGAAATCTATATTAGAATTGCAAAAAGAAGATTGTGGCCGTTTTTTTCTTTTTCTAAATGATATCACGAACCCCCTGACCCTCAGGGGTCAGCAAACCATCTTGAGAACCACTGGTGTAACAGATAAACAGCTGCTCTGCTGGGAGAGACTGAGACCTGTGATGATGCCCAGTGCACCGAAGTCAATTCTTCCACTTTTAAACACATTTTAAACTTTTGAACAAAGACAGAAATAGTAGATTGCACAATTTATAGTCTGAAATATTTCACTGCATGTCATCAAGAGCATACTACAGCAACAATGAATACCATGAAGTAAATTAATGAGTCCTTCTAACTAGAGTCAGTTGCACTAAAAGGGGGTCACATTAGCTCAGTCGATAAGAGACTGGCTTTCAAATCCAGCTGCGACTCGCTGCAGCCCACGGTCGGTGTTCGAAACTGGGCGGCTCCCGGGGTTCACCCAGCCTCCAGGAAATGGGTACCAGTGTTGACACTCTGGGGTAAATGGAGGAACGTCGCTGTAGCTACAGAGTTACGTGCGAACGGCGACACAGGCAGACAATTCTTATCAGCTGTCCGTACTCGTGGCAGAGCACTTATGGCTTATAACCATGTGCAATGACTCTGGTTCACATCTCCCGACTTTACCTTTATCTTTACTTGCACTAAAAAAAAAAGAACAGCCTGTTTTACCAGAGCAAATACAGGTTCACAACCAAATCTTTTTGTCTGCACAAATCTATTTGGAATGAATTTATTATTGTCACTCCATCCTAGTGTAGCATCCTGCGGTTGATCCATGTACAAACATTATACTGGGTTAAGCACACTTTTTCTACCTCTTTTGTGTGTGTATCATAAATATAAACAAAACATTTCAACTGTTTTGTGTGTGTGCCAGGTAACTGCCGAGCTTCCATCCAAAGGAGAATATGGCATTGAAGTATACGGCAACGACCCAGCTAAAGATGGTGACACATACACTCACATTTGCCAGTACTATGTGCATTATGCACCCCCAAATGAGCAGCAAGCTGCCTTCTACCAGGAGTCACCGGAAAGACGAGGCCTGGCCCCAGGACAGAATGCAACCAGCAATAAGCCACGTGGATACACTGCTGGCACAGCTGGAGTAAGTATCCAAAGCTAAGATGTTACCATGTATGTTTTTATTTGCTCTAAGGTAACCGAAATGGCATTTCTTTGTTTTCAGCATAAATTCATCATAATGGGTGATGATAACATATCTCTTTCTGTATTGTCTTTCTTTCTGTCTGTTGTTCTTTCTTTCTGTCTGTTGTTCTTTCTTTCTGTCTGTTGTTCTTTCTTTCTGTTTGTTGTTATTAACACGACACACACACACACACATTGTAATTGTAACTGATTCAGAAAACATGCTGAGGAAGATCAGAACAGGTATGCTTCGTGCAGAGTGGCATGCTTCGCTGCGGAGGACACGAGTGAGGAGTATTGTCTGGATTTTTTCCACCGGGTGACGCCGGTGTGTTAGGAAATGAACAGGCGGACAGACTGGCTGGCTCTGCACAACTTTGTGGAATACTGCTACATGATAGGGCAGACGTGGTTAGTGCCTTGTGGGAGAGCGTGTACAATGCGGAGGAGCAGATAGATCACCACAGTTTGGTGAGATTGATGCATTTGGGGGTGACGAGAGGTTCTGGCAGAAGCTCAAGGCTCAGAGGAAAGGCAAGACGGACATTTAATCAGAAAGCTGCTGGCACCATTAGTATCGGAATTCTTTGCTGGCTGCTGAAGATGGGGACGGAGCGCTTATGGGAATGCCCCGAGTGCTGTGATGTTGGTTCTTGAATCAAATCAAATCAAATCTGTCTTGTTTTTTCTTTCTGTCTGTTCTTTCTTTCTTTCTTTCTTTCTTTCTTTCTTTCTTTCTTTCTTTCTTTCTTTCTTTCTTTCTTTCTTTCTTTCTTTCTTTCTTTCTTTCTTTCTTTCTTTTATTTTGTTTTTATTTATAATAAGATGAAAGACAGAAAAATAGTGAATGTAATAATTTCCCTACTTCCTTTGTTTTGTTCCTTTCATTCCTTTGTTTCTAACTTGTCTATGTCATTCACAATAAATTATCTCTTTCATCTATTCTTTGATATCTTGAACTTGTTCTGTATTTAGTGTATTTCTGTGTTATGATTTTATTCTTATCTTCAAAATTATCTTCCTCTGACTGCATTCTTGTGCCTCTGTTTACTTTCTGATTCCTCTTTTTACATTCTGATTCATGTGTCATCTGCTTATAAAGTTGAATCTGAATTTCTTGTTGCTACTTCATGCACTTCCCTGTTTGAGTTTGGGGGCCCTATTTTGGGGGTTGTAATGGGGGATATTTTCACCCAGTTTAGGATGGTTGGGGGGAAGGCCTAAAGCTGACCTAAAACACCGAGATAGTCCAGATACTTTGATTAAACAAGAATCTGGAGATAGGTGACTAACCACTGGTTATCACCGGGACCACGATGATGCGACCCAAGGTCGCCACGTGAAAAGTAAAGGACCACCACGTGTTGTCACGTGAAACGAACCCGTGGTATAAGTCAGACTTGACTCTGGTCAAGTTTAGTTTGTGTCGACCTGTTGGAGTGAGAGGACGTACGACTGAAAGTGAGAATGTCAACGTGAGAGTGATTGTGAAGAAAGGAGACCCTGCCGACGAAGTGTGAAGCCGAGATCGACCATGCCAGTGTGTGAGATGACCAGAACCTCAACGCGAATCCATGGGAACCAACTTTGGTCAGTGAATGCTTGAAGAAGACTGTTTGTTGAAGGCTGCGTGAGTTTGGGTACGAGAGCTGTTCACTAGGACACCGACCGGACATTCTGTTTTGTAAGTGAAAATACGTCAATAAATTCATGTCTCGTAAGCTCACACCGGTGTCGGCTTGTGCCAGTTGTGTAACGTGGAGCGTGTGAGAAGATCATCCACCACACACGCATGAACACTGCCTAGACAACGAGAAGAAACACACACCACTTATTACAGGGGTGAAAAATAGATCCACCACCCCTCCTCTAACAAGCATATGTTGTGAAAAGTGACTATTTAGTAGGGGATTCCTTCAAAGTCAGAGTGCACCTGCCTGAGAGGTGAGGAACCAACAGTCTGCTTACATATAAGTTAGGTTTGGAAAATGAATGTGCACGCAGAACTCAAGATCTGAAAGTGGATGAATAACCAGAACTTTACAGCTGTTGAATGGAAACGAGGAGGGAGATTTTCATGCACTGAGCTGAGATTTTCCTTGTTTGATCTGCTGGAGGAGATTAGAGCACTTGTTAAAATGTGTGCATGGAGTGAAAGTGACTTTTTTTTTTTAAAACAGACCAAACCAACCTATGTTATTCTATACCCAACAGTGTCCTGTCTTTGCTTGCATACATTGGTTTTCTGATGTAATATTCCACAGTTAAACAACGCCTCCCTGAATCAGGATGGGTATGATGAAGAGTTCCCTCCTCCACCACCTGAACTGCTCCAGCAGCAGTATCTGTATGGTACTGTCCCCGACAGCAGACAGCAGGCCATCCAGAGCAACTATGCCCATCCCCAGGGCCACGCTGTCAGCTCTTATGCTCCAGGTGTTGGTCAAACAACAGCACAGAAACCGCAACAGGCAGAGCTAGTTCAGATTCCTGTCAGCACTAAGCCGATTCAGGTACTGTCTCCATTAGTCTTGTCATATAAGGATGATCTAGTGTAACTAACTATAATGAGGTATATTGTAATTATTGTGTGTTTCTAGGTCATCTACATCTTCTTCATTTCCTCTGACTATAATCAATGGATTAGGAATGCAGTTTATAATTTTGAAATATCCAGTTCGGTTCCGTTACAGGTTTTTTGACTGCAGACCACTTTGCTGTGATTTTGACAGTAATATAGGGAGTTGATACTTCAGGAAACATTGGCAGCCAACTGAAATTAAACATTAACCAGTAAAACCACAAACAGCTAAATATAATGAGGTTGGGTTAGTTTGCAACTTCCTGTAAACACAACTAACTTTAACTAAACTTGGGCTTTTTAATTTAAATGTAAAAGAATACTTAAAAAGCAACAGATACTAAGGATCAAGAAGAAAAAATAATAATATTCTCCTAAATTTGAACATTGAAAAAAAAAACTACATTTAGTGCAGCAGTAAAATTCTGAAAATCTTTTAATTTTTTTTTTAATAAGAAAACATGAGGTCATTACCCTAGCCCTTGGATTTTCTGATAGTTACCACTTTTTATCTAAAATATTCTACCCAGCACTGTTAATATTTTTAAGATATGATGATTATTATACTGGCTACATTAAACTGGATTTTAAACATAGCTAAGGTATTTACAAGCTGGTACTGAATATTTTTTTTCTTTCGATCCTTTCTTTTCAGGTTGAGAAGAGATCAGTAGGTCAGGGCGGCCAGGCGGCTCCATCTTCCTTCCAGCTGCATCCAAAATCAGAGAAAGAAGCTGCTCCTGGTCCAGCTCCAGCTGTAGGATCTCAGCAAAAGCCCTCGCTAGAAGCCATTGACAGGAATGTGCTGCAGTCAGTCGATGATCATGCCATTCAGGTGAGATTTGTGTTTGCTTTCTAGTTTCTTTCTTGCATCAGACAGCATTTTAGTTGTTCTGATGCCAGAAAACATGCTTGATGATTGTTCTTTGCTGCTGGAGAGGATTGTTTTTTATCAGTCACAAAGAAAATCTTGTGATGCCATATCATACAAGGTGTTGCTAAGAGGAGGCAGATGAATACCCTGAGGAAGACCAAGAACAGTGTGGAAAGATAACATCAAAGAAATTCTAAAACAGTTTCAAACATCTGTATGAGTATGGAAATATAGAAAGGGAGTAATTAATAAACACATAGTGAAGCATAAAACGGAGCACATGTTTTGCTGCCTAAAAAGAATGTGTCGGGTGACTCAAAGCCATGACCCTGTGACCTTGTCAAAATTTTAAACATAAGGTTAAATTTATTATGTCAAAACAGCTTTGAAAAAAAAACAACACAGTTTGTTCACCCAAAAACACCCTTAAATGTTATTTTTATTAAATATGTTCAAATCCTGGCCTACTCAACAGTGCAGAGGCACGAAGAGAACCTAACACTGTTAACTAGGCTTCTCCGGAGCCGGCCATAGCATCATTAAGTTGCATTTACAGGAAGGAGTCACAACAAATGCATGGTACCATAGGAATTGGAACTATTCACTTGCTTCTAAAGATGGGGACGAAACACTTCTGGGAGTGTCCTGAGTGCTGTGATGTGGATGCTTAATTCAGCATTCATTTGATGAGCTTTTTAAATTTGTCTGTGTGTTTAAATGGAGAACAAAGGTCTGATATAGGCAGTGAGTTTAGTAGACAGTAAAGCAGTTACTCCTGGTTATTGTTGCAGGTCTCCAAATGTGAGCACATCAACTTCAAGGACTTGGTCTGGGATTTAATCTTCTCAAAGAACATTACCAATGAACTAGAAAAAACAAGGTAAGAAGCAAGATATTCATTCAGCATTTTTGTAGTATTCTATGTGTAATGTTTTTCGGACATGCCATTCATTAAAAGATTTGGATGGCCTGGCCATATTGGTTGGGGTGGGGGTGGGGAGGACAAGAACATTGAACTGATCCATGAATCCAGTGATCATGGGAGATGGTGAAAAATAACGGATTATACTTACCGGTGATGTACATTAAACTGATGATATGTAAGTGGAGTTCCCTTATTGAATACAGACTGTGCTGTGATTTCTCAGTTCAGTGAACCAAAGTTCCTGCTTGACGGTGCTCATTCTCATAAGTGAGTGAAGGACCCTCTTTGAATCTTAGGCACATCAGGCATTGGTGCTAGACCCATATTTTTATAGACACTTGACGGGTGATGTGGTCAACATCAACATTGTGCCGGTCACCTTTACTTTCCAGGACATTTGCTAGATGCCCATTTTCAGCCAGTTAAACCTGGGAGTCTTCTTAGGTCAGTTTTAAGAAGCAACCTTGTGCAGATTTGAACCTAAGATTTTTAGGCCAGCAGGCAGTCGTCTAGCCACCAATATACTGTGGCTTGTCCATGCCCTATAAGGACATATTTGAATGATTTGAGACACCATATCATTTCTTTTTGTTCCGTCTTTTGAAAAAAAAAAATGCTTCCCAGATATGTAAAATCCTTCGCTTACTGTAACCAAGAGCGACATGAAAAAAATGCTCCCCAGATATGTAAAACTCTTCACTTACTGTAACTGGTGTTCATCAATTTTGATATCTTTGGTTCTTCCTTTTCTGGAGAATGCTATCACTTCTGTTTTGTCTTACTTTAGTCTTCATATCATAGTTGTCGCATTCTGATTGGAGTCTATTAATATGTTCTTGTAGCTGTAATGCTGTTGGTGCTATGATTGCCTGGTCATCAGCAAAATTGCAATTATTAATTCTCTGATGGTGTCCTCTTCGCTGGTGCTAGCTGATTTGCTAATTTAGTCGACATATGTGATCAGCAGTAGTGGAACACACTCAGTGGTGGTTTGGATCTTTGAAAGGTCCAAAGATTAGTCTGAAAAACTATCCTCAAAAGTTTGTAATAAGGCTTTATCATATTTCCATTCATGTTCAACTGAAAAATTATTCCTGGGATGTTTTGTTTTATTAAAATGATTATATTTGGTGTGTTGTTCTTATCCAGAGTTATCTTCCGATGGCTGGCAACTAAAAATCTGAAAGAAATGAACTTTGACAAGGTTGAGAAAGGCAGTCCTGAAGAGGTTCTCATGGGCCTTAAGACCGGAAAAACTACATATGCTATGGTGTTTGATACATTGTGCAAGTGAGTATTACTTTGCCTCAGTGCTTTTTTTAAATTAAAAAAAAAAAAATGATGAAAGTCATAATAATCATGGGAAAAAATCATTGGAAAGACTCACATTCCATGCACCAACAGATAAATATATTAAGAGGGAAGAAGAG